TCTGTTAGTCTATATATACATATTTACTATTATATCATTTGTTTACACTGCAAAAACTTTCAATTCGGCATGAAATAAAAATATTAATTATTTCGCAACCTTCCGCTAACTAAATAGGTACAATGATGTGTCTTACCTGGATTGAATAATTACCTGGATTCAATCCAGGTAAGACACATCATTGTATTTAGTTGACGGAGGGTTGCGGAATAATTAATATTTTTATTATAATGGATTTCCGCAAAGTAACGCCTGATTATATCAATTCGGCATGTGTTTAGGATTACAGCCTTCTGTAAACTAACAAAAATTTGTTCTGGTAGATCGAGTGATTTGATTGACTAGTGTAGGGATAGAGGTATTACCCCTGTGGTGGACAGAACTATGGGTACTATACTTACAGTTTGGAGATTCCACATATGTACGTTTTATTTGATTTTTGAGGTCTATATACTTACTTTGTAAGTTTTCTGATATTGTTGACTGCAGGTTCAGGATATTAGGTACAGCTATATCTATTAAAGTTGCTGTTTTTTTTGTTTTGTTTCTATAGTTATATCCGGTCTGTTAAACTGGACTGTCTTGTCTGTCAGTATGGCTCTATCGAAATAAAACTTAAATGTTTAGTTTTCTAAGACAGTCTCAGGAATATATTTATAGTAAGGTATGCGTGAGGTTTATATGAGCTTGTATTTTTGTGCTAATTCTTGATGTATATAATATTAACAACCTTGTCATGTCTATATTTTTATAGTCTGTTTGGACAATTGCTTTACATGATCCGGTAATGTGTTGTATGTTTTTAGAGGGCTATTACATTTACGACAATCATCTGTTGTATTTGGGATTTTCATTTTATGTTTTTTGTAATTCCGAGTTTCTATAACTTGGTCCTGAAAAGCGATGATAAACCCTTCTGTCTCGGGAAACAGTACTCCGCGCTTCAGCCACTCATTTGACGCTGACCTGTCAACGTGTGGTAGGTTTAGATCTTAATAGTGCCTTCCCTGTAAAGACTTCAGGGCACATTCATTCATTTTGATTTGGTTACTTACCTGTTTCTCGTTGTTTTGTCTATTCCTGTCTTTCAAATCAAGCGATGTAAGCTTGTGATCATTTTGTGCTGTCGCAATGTATAAAGTGGAGTTTTTATTATAAAGTATGCTCGAATATTATTATATTTAATATATTTTGCGTCAAGTAGAGTCTTTAAAATCGAGTTTAGTGTGTTTTAATTGTTGTTTCAACGTTAGCTTAACTTCGATTGTTGGTAGATATGATTTATACGTCTCCTTTTCATGAAGTGAGCTTATTATTTGCCCAGTTTGAGTTTGGTAGTCATGAGTCATGACTATACATCTGACCTAATTAATTTTGCATTTTTCAATCTCAAGCTCCATACCCACCATGCCAAGTGAGACGCTTTCAGTTATGTTTGCAAGTTGGTTTAAATCTTTCTAGTTCTGGGCATATAATTTTAGATCGTCCATATACAACAATTGGTTTATGTGATATACGTGTGCGTGTGATGGTAATTCCGTATATTGGATTCATTTAATTGATTAGATAGTGGGTTTAATGCCAAGCAAAACCAAAATGGGCTTAAAGAATGACCTTAAAATATGCCACGTCTAATTTTTATAATATCTATGTTTATAGTTTGTATGGGAGGCGCTGTCATATTGCCATCGCTCGCACGATGATGCGATGCGTTTTGATGCATGATCGCACGACGTTCAATAGGACATTCCTCAGATATGAGTATGTTTAAACGCACGGTCGCACGATCGTTTTCGTTGGACGCAACGCATGATCGCCCGAGCGATGGCAATAGGACGGCGCCTGAGTGTTGATGCGTACCTAATCGCGTAGTCCAATTTTATTATTGGTTCAGATTTAAATCCCTACATATAATCGTATGCTGGCAAGGGTTTTCACTTTGTTAGTGTTATCAAGAAAACTACCTAGAAGTTTCTGCGTTATTGGTGGAGTAGATATACTGCACAACAGTCTTAACTTCTTAGTGCATTTTTTGTATGAAGAAATATTGATCGTTATGCAAATATCTTCGCAGTCACTTTCATGATGATCGTGAAAAAATGTAAAAAAATTCTCAATCGACAATAGAAAATATTTTATTTTTATTTTACTATGTTATTATTATTGAGATTCCAAATTTTTTCCATTAATGGTATTAATTGAAAAACTTTTAACAGAATTATCTTAAAACGATCAGAAATCAACTATTTTAAAGTATCAACTATCAAGTATTAGTACTCAAGCATTATCGCAAAACTATTCTTTTTTACCTTACTCGATAATATTTTTTTTCATCGACTTTGTTTTCAAAAAGTTTTTTATCTAGGCATAATCAGTATTTTAATTTAACTTTAGGTCACTCTATAAAAGTCCAAGACGTATAAGTATATTTATATATAAATCCTACGTAGTTTAAGCGAAACAATAATAAATTGTAATGAAAATCTGTGCTTATAAAATAATAATAACATCTTACCTTGGTCAAGTATGTATCAAATTTAGTTTTTGGAATATTTTTATTATTAGATATATATTTGTACACCGAACGATATTTATCATCACAAGCCGCTGTAAACAAACGATACAGTAATCCACTCACGACGGCGGCTGAGCCCGCAGCAGTGAGTCAAAGTGTATCTGTAATTGGTAAAATATATTCTTACAAGGCTGCGCCAACACAAAAAAATTCGGATTTTCTCAGCCGAAAAAAATGTAAATGCATTTTTCCTGTAGTAATAAAAATGATCTTGTTCAATAAATGTTGTGTTATTAGTATGCACATAATTTTAATAAATGATAATGAGTATTATACCCAAAAATATTTTTTCCCAATTTCACTACAACCCCTAGCATGGCAACACGCCACCCTGGTAAATACATACGCGGTCGGTAGAATCACCTAACATCAAAGGCGTTTCACAACTGTTAGAATGGCTTTAATATGTTATGTTAATATTATAATACGAAGTATATTTAGTAACAATGATAATACAAAATTTGTTTCCGGAAGGGGAGTACGGTAACATTTCACAGATATAGGGAATTTACGGTTTACATTAAAGATGAAACGGATATCCGGTATTCGGTCTATCCGGCCTAAAATTACTATCCGGCCGGATACCGGATAACAAACAGCTATCCGGCCGGATACAAGATTTAAAAATACTACAAAATATCAAATTTTGTTAAGTACTTCATTTATGTCACTTAACAAATTAAAATAGAATCAGTAATAACAAAATTTTCATTTTAAAACTTACAAAATTAGTACTCTTACAGTGCTAAGACATAGAATATTATATAATAGTACTACGTAGCTAAGGGCTAATTATGGGGAATAAATATTAATTTCTCTCCATTGAAAGGTAGCAAGCGGTTTCGCCTGTCTTCATAAACAAGGCCAGCTTCAGAAAAAGATCTTCCGCTGTATACACTGCTGCAGGGTGCAAAAAGATAGATTTTGCCAAACTTTGATCAAATGGGGTATTGTATAGCATACCTGCCTACCAAAAATATATGAGTCGCGATCGCGAACAGTTTGCACAGACTTTTATTTTCACTTCTTGCGTTGCACCAAACGGCAATGTTCGGCAGAATATCCGGCGGCCGGATATCTGGCTATAAGACTGACCGAATATCCGGTATCCGGCCAAACAGCTATCCGTGCCGTCTCTGTTTTATATTATAATTAATTCTATTTGATAATATAAGCTCTTAAAATCCGTATCTTATTAAATGTAATTACTAACATGTTTGGCTTTAAATTATCTATTTTTGATAAACAATAAAATTAGAACTCCTTTTCTACTTGGGAGTCTATATGGGTGTTTACCACCCTCTTACCTAATTTTGCCGCTAAATTCCGCACTTTAGAACTATTAATCTTGTCCTGCGCAGATGACTAGTCTGCGTTGAGACCGGCCGTCGTGACCGAAATATTATTATGAAGTGCCAGTATAATTAAAGTTTTTGAAGCATTCTATATTAGTCCTCGGAGGTAGCCTTCCACAGAATAGTATAATACATACATAATAGAATGGGGGAGTGGGCGGAGCCCGTGTAGCCACTAACATGTCAATTCACACCTATAAATGTCAACACAATCAATCGTTTCCAATTTTCGTGTCAAGCGTCGCTGCATGCAAATTATTTAAAAAATGGCAAACAGCGGGAAATGGAATTTAAATAAAGAAGACATATCCTACAACCAGTAAGTCGAAACTATTTATATTTTGTAAATATTAGAAACAAAAATAAAGAAATATTTATGTGTCAAAAACATTAAACAAAAGTCTAAAATGTGTTTGTGTGCGTGAGTGATAAGTGATAACTGATAATACGGCGTAATTTCTTGTATGTGTGCTCCCGGCGACGCCGATCCTCGTATAAAATAAGGTTCACAGCCATTCTATTGTGTATTATAATATTCTATGTAGCCTTCCTCGTTTGAAGTTGACTGTTGGTGTCAATGGACTTCACTAGCCACGAACCATCAGTATGACTGTACGTTGCTTTGTCACTTCAGTTTAAAAAATGAATGACAAGACATTCGTATTTCCGGTTCCGGAATATCATGTGAGTCATCTTTTAAGGTATAAATATAAAATACTAAAATTAATACTTAGGTACTTTAAATTCTCGCCTGTCTCTGACAATGTTTTTAATTCGTTTCTGAACGTACTCAAATGACATTGACATTTGAAATGTCAATAATAATGTCAAAACAAAGCTCGGAAACGGTTATCAGCCAAGTTTTCTCTTCTCACCGAATTTTATATTGTGTTTTGTTACATTATGATATGATTTAATTTATACAAAAATTACTAGATTTGCGAAATTCAATAAAGAACTACTGAAAAGAATAGTTTTTATCAGTTTAGTGAAGAACATGTGTATATATTATAGGAAACGAAATAACACTTGAACTTAAATTTTAACGCAATTTTAGAAAATAATTTAAAATGTCATATGCAGAAATATCAGAGGACGAAGACAGTTTTGTCTTAAGCAACAGCGAAATGAATAAAAGTTCTGAACAACATATTATTATAAGCAGTGATGAAGAGTCACAAGGACCTGCTGTTGTATACGAACTTACTTCTGATGAAGATGAATGCAGCTGTGAAATAAGAAATAAAAAACAAACATTAATAAAGAACCTATTTCCCACTACCAAATCAAGTAACAAGAACAACACCAAATTATTAAAACCACCAAAAGGAAAGGGATTTGAAAAAATGATAGGTGGAATAAAAGTTCATATACCCCTTGAGCCATATGGTAGTCAAACAGCTTTGATGTTTAAGGTAAGTAACTGTTTTATGAAAGTATAACAGAGAATAATAGGTGAAGTTTACAAAGCTTAATGTATATATACAGGTTAATATTAGAAATAATAATTTCATAATTGAATCTTAATGATGTTCTGTATGTACAAGAACAATGCATCTATAGCCTGTTCCAACTAAAAGGTAGCTATAAATATATAGCTATAAAGTATATCATCATCATCATTATAGCTTATAAACTACTGCTAAATTTAGGTAGTCGATCCCACAACAAAGTTGAGCAAGGAAGAAAATTTCTTGTAAATCGCACATCCGTGGATGCCAGTCATCCAGATTGCATGGATGGTATCACGAGTTTTGTCTCTATGTGCAATGGTGAAATTGTGTGGTTGGAATTAGTCCGTACAATTCCTTAGAGCACTCCCCATAGTTAATGCGACAAAATGTGACTCACTGGCATTGCAAAGAGATGCAACATCTCTTTACAATGCCAGTGAGTTTTTAATCTTAAAATGGAAGTAATAAGTTATCCAGATGGACATCATTGTGGTGTCTATAAGAAATGCCAGAAATGTCTTACAGCTACTGATAGATAGTGTAATACCATTCAAAAAAATGAAAGCAGTGGTAGCTCAGATGATTAGCGCTCACTCTAAATTTTACAGTATATACAGCAAAGCAGGTTCGGTCACCATGGGACCAACAAAATTGTTAATTGTTGATTTACCATGTGCTCGGTGGTAAAGGAAAACATCCTGAGGAAACCTGCTTGTCTGAGAAATAAGAAAAAAATATTTAGAATACATGTGAAGTATAGTTTGAATACAAGTTAAGTTCGCCAACACGCATTAGGGCAGCCCTGTGGTCACTTCCTTGCCCTAAAACCCTCTCAAAAATGAGGGGAAGCTTGTGTTTAGCAGTGGCACAATTAGACTGTAACTTTAACTTTTTAGATGTAAAATACCCAAACAAGCTATACGCAGCCACATCAAAAGAGTGCGACATCTGGATGCTGCAGTTATCAATCTGCCTACCAAGCTTAATGATTAAGAAAAATCCTGCAACAGGAAGGGCCCCAAGAATAAGAAATAATTACTTAAATATTGAGTGCTTTTTAGGTTATAACAGCTATCAACAAATCCCAAAACTGCTTGCTGGAAAGTCCAACGGGTTCTGGTAAAACCTTGGCGCTACTTTGTGGTGCATTGGGATGGCTACGTCATGAAAGAAGTAAGTGCCTACATTACTTTTTGTCGTTTTTCTAGAATTTTTATTGAGTTGACTTTAAGATTTTTAATTGTTTGATTTTTAAAATTTTTAATTTAAATGCAAATTACTCATTACACTATTTGTGAGGGTATTATAGAAAGTTTGAACTTGGCCTCTCCCTATGTTTGGCTTGCAGGGACTGCCCTCCATTAATTGCCTCATATAGAGAGTATATGTGTATATGAGTATATGTGCCATAACAGCTACTTTTGGCCGGCGGGTTGGCAACTGCAAATTCTTTTTGTTGTTATTAAGAATATGCTGCAACCCATCTCCCCTGTTTTCTTCTGTTCCCTCTCACGACATCCATGGATTGATACGGGGTAGTGGATATTCTTACATGATTAATCAAATGGTTATATTAAGCTATAATAGATGGAAGTATATATAGCTAGTAAAATCAAGGCCAATAATTGTAGTATCGTTCGTCATTTTTATCTTGTTTTAAATATTCCTTTTATACCTGTTTAAGATAAGTTTTATTTTATTTTTAGTTATCTATATCTAATCTCTATGATCAGAGCCATTTTATTTGGTGCAATCTCATATATTTTAAAATAATGTATTCAGAGATAAGGTAAGAAATAATAGTGCATGACAAAATTAAGCTATTTAGTAGAAAGTTCAAAAGTTTTATTTTTAATATAGGAAAGGATACTAAAATAAAAACAGTTTTTATTGATTTTGACTTATGTATGTGGCATTTATAAATAGTGGTTTATTGTAGTGAGTCATGCGTTTGAGACGTGGGCCTAATGTATATTTGGCCACATTTTTGACATATTTTTATAATAAGGCAACGCACCTGCAATTCCCCCGGTGTTGCGGTTGATCATGGGTGGCGGTAGTCACTTAACATCAGGTGAGCCGCATGCTCGATTGCCCCTCTTCTTTAAAATAAAAAAAATATATATTTCAAAAACACGATAGAGAAACTTATGACAATAATGAAGCGTCACATCGCCCGCTACAGTAAGAAGCGACAATTGTTCATAAGTGTTCGCGTGACCAGCACAAGTCGCAGGCCAACAAGCCAACAAGCAACTAATAAGTCATACATAAACAGTCGCACGACAATCGGCCACAGCCTAACACGAAAATTGCGCTTCACCGATACTGAATGCATTTTCCGCATGCAATGTCGTTTGCATCGGATAAGGACGTAGCTGATATTTCCGTGTTTTTTTATTTTTATACGATTTTGGTTCCTCGTTGCCGATGTATATTAAATTGATCCCTATTTTTATGATAATTGCCTAATTCGAATTTCGCATTGGCCGTTCCTTGTATTCATAAATCGTTCAAAAAATTTCCTTGCATGGAGAGAGCTACCATAGTTTTAACAAAGCTCGATATAGTTTTTGCATTTTTACTTTAAAAAAGTCCGTTTTAAAATCATCGACTATATATACACGGATAAAGCCATGCTGCAAAGATATTATAGTTGTAGCACGACTGGATCGTCTAGACCGGGGAAGGACCACACTCTCTCAGAATACCTGCGTAAAATCAAATTTACGCAGGTATTCTGAGAGAAAAAAAGCAAGTTAATGCTGCTGTTTCGTATGATGAGTATACATAAACTGAGACCCTTTTTACTGGAAACGAGGCATTCTATCTTAGTCCTCAGGGGTGACAATGCGTCTGCATTTTGATTCTTAATCGAGATATAGATGTGCCACAGCATCCACTTACCATCAGATGGACTGTGTGCTCGTTTGTTATTCTTATGCTATAAAAAAAAACATATTTTTGTCAGGCAATGTTTTAACGCACTCATAATAAATGGCCCGATTACGTCGACCCGGTAAAGAAGAACATAAGACAATCTAACATTCCTTCTCGTTCTGGACGTATCGACTATGGGAAATGTGTAGGTCGCGTGGCGCCACTCATGTCAAAGTACCGTCAAATTCCTTGTATCATATATTAGATATTTAAACGTCCAGAGCAGTTAAAGAAAGTAGCGCCAAAGGATCACTTGGAGTAATTTTCGAAAATATGAAAATATTTTTCGATACGAGAAAAGTCCATCTCCCGCAGTGGAATGCCATACGTAAGTTTATCTATCTGAAAATGATACGGAGTTGTTGGTATTATGAACTGTAATTTTTATATTTTTTAACTATAGAGTTGTAACTGATATTGTATTTAGGATTGCAACTTCAAAGAAGTACGCTTCGCCCGTAGACGTCTTGTTAGTAAGCAGGTACTCTGATTAATGACACTATAAAGACCTGAGAGGCACCCAACTTCCGTCACGTGTTATTATAATTTATATTAAGTTGGTATAATTGCATTCATGACACTGTTGACACTTACCTCTACAATCAGTAATAAATTCACCATATTATGCAATATACGTTAGCTTGGAACCCACTTTCTGATACCTCCCTACTCGTTGCGGAGATTTTGACCACCAACCACAATACAATGACAGTTTCTTATTGCTGATTGCAACATAAAGAAAAAATACATTCTTCGACCTGAACCGAAATAAATAAAACTCCACTGAATGTCTAAAAGCTAAAAACCTTTTAGAAACATTTTATTATTTTGTGCTTATCAGCTATTGTTAAGAGCACACATGCGTTTTTCACAATTTTATGAATGCCTATATGGCCTATTGAAGGAAATAGAGGTAGTCAAAGTGTGCACTTTATTGAAATATATATATATATATATATATATATATATATATATATATATATATATATATATATATATTTATTAAGAACGCTGATATAAGGGGAAGATTTTTTCAAACTAAAACACAAAACTAATTGCATGCAATTGCAAATGCAACAACAACATGATTAGCTAAAAATAAATAGATAAACTATTTACACTACTTCTAAACATAGTGTTTCTATTTACTGACTGGTCACGTAATTAAGAACGCCAAATAATTTATAAACCTTAATTCAAATTTAAATAGAGAACATTCAGTTGATATGTTACTGTTTGTATAATTTTGGCGCCATTTAGTGCTGTAAAAGATTGAAAGTGATTGCTTCTTAGGAAAAAACAATGGGAAATAATAAAAAGTTGTGATAAATCTACAAGGGAAGTTATAATAAAACTTCACCGGAAGAATTGGTATTATAAAAAGATAGCCGACCACCGGCAATGTTCAAAAACGATGGTTTTCCACTCTGTAAAGCATTTTGCTACGTATCAAACTACTTCGAATGTTCCACGTGTACCTAAACAGAGAAAAACAACTCCTCGAGATGACCAAAACATCGTTCGTATGGCAAAACAAAATACTTTTAAGGGGTCCAATGAGCTGAGAAAAGAATATTTTGGTGAAAACAACCCTTCAGCAATCTCAGCACGCACTATTCGAAGACGTTTGGTAGAAGAAAAATTGCACGGTAGGATAGCAAGAAAGGTACCCATGTTGATACTTTGCCACAGGCAAGCCCGGCTTGCATTTGCGCAAACTGGACTGTGCTACAGTGGAAAAATGTACTTTTTTCTGAAGAGACAAAGATAAACAGATTATGTTTTGATGGAAAACGATATGTACGACGTCCCCCGAATACAGCATTCAACCCTAAGTACACGACAGTTACATTAAAGCACGGTGGTGGAAATGTGAAAATCTGGGGGTGCTTTTCTGGACATGGTGTTGGACCTGTAAAGTTGATAGAAGGTAACATGGATCAGTTCCAATACAAAAATATACTGGAAGAAAAAATGTTACCTTATGCTAAAGACGTTCTACCGGTTATTTGTACGTTTCAGCATGACAATGATCCAAAGCACACTGCACGCACCGTAAAGGAGTTTCTTACAGCGCAATCAGTTTCTGTCTTAGACTGGCCAGCTAACAGCCCAGATCTAAGCCCAATAGAGAATCTGTGGTTCGAAGTAAAGAAAAAGGTTTCAAATACACAATGTGGGAATTCAAGACAGCTGTGCGACGTTTTTTTAGAAGAATGGAACGCTATTTCTCTTGCGAAATGTTAAAAATTTATAGAGTCAATGCCTCGCCGGTGTAAAGCTGTAATTAAAAGCCGTGGATATGCTATTGACTATTAATTTTAGTTAAAAATGTATTAAATTGCTTTTTAAATTTTCCGCGCTACATATTATTGTAATTTTTTAAATGTAAGTGTCATACAAAACAATTTCCGAGCAGTTTTCGTTCTTAATTATTTGTCCAGTTTCAGTATTATTTGAATGAGTTACTTTGGTAAAATAAATAAAACGTGAAAAAAGTTAGCGATTTTATTCTTTATTCCTAAGCCATGTTGCTCTATTAATGTGGCTATTTTATAACATAACTAGTTGTTTCTCAGAAGGTGCACATCTCTGTGTACAACATGATTTAAATAAAAAAACTTGTAGAATTTCAAATCGTTTTTATTTAGGTGCTTTTTAGGTGGTTAAAACTTTGAAGGCGTTTTAGAGAATGAAAGGCGTAAAATATTTTCCTGCTTACATCCGTAATATGTGCGCCCCAAGTCAAATTGCAGTCGGAAATAACACCTAGGTATTGCTCTCTATCTGTTTGTAAAGTTTCAAAGATTTGCCCGAACAGACGGATAAACACACAAAAATTAAAAAAAAAAGTTATTTATGTCTTAACAGCACGCAAACATTCCCCGGAGCTTAATAAAAGCCAGATATTCCGATATTACAGATAGACGACACATTTATAGGTATATAGATAATGAGTGACCGTGGGAAAGCCAGAAAAATATCGTGGCTTCCTATTAGATCTGGTCTCTGATACTGTATGGTACAACTCGAGAGGCCCATATCCAGTATTATACTCTTACGGTCTGAAGAAAAGGAAAATACATTATGATTTCTTATATTTACGCGAACACTATACATTTAAATAATACTGGTTTTTACGGATTTTATCGCGTATATTTAACTTTTTAAACACCCGACGTTTCGAGCGCTTTACTGCACCCATGGTCACGGGGGACTGAGATGTTCAACGT